ACAACCACAACCACACATTTTCACTTTATTCCACTTTCTTAATAGGTGTGTCAAGTCAAACCGGGAAGAATTTTTAGGAACGGAGGTAGTACTCCGTGATTTTTTCTCCAATCAAAAAGTCAATCATCATCACATCTCTTCTCCATCTGCGTTGGTCTGCCTAGCACTTCCCAGTAGGTTAGCTTCTCCTTCTAGACTCTGGTTATTGTATACGAATATACATTATACGAAGTACTCCCTCCGTCCCACAATGTTTGGGACAAAGGAGTGTGGCAAAAATTTTAAGAAAAAGTAGAATTGTGTGGTTGGTGTTGAGTTGATAAAGTGTGAATAAAGTAAGAATGAATTGTGACCACCCAAATATTGCCAAATATGGTATGGGACAAACTTAATGGGACGGACGAAAAAGATAAAATGGGACAAAGTTAGGGGGACGGAGGGAGTATATATTATTTGTTTGGCCCTGCTTTCTACACCTTAGCTTGTTTTCATTGATTCAAATGTGTACACACCCTGTATTGTTTGGTTCCTTCTAGCTGCTTGCTTTTGGTATGATTGACGATAAGAGCACTGATTTAGTAGGTCAAAAGGCGATCTAGTGATTTTTTTTTACATATTTTACATGTGAAGTTAATTTCCAATCAAACAATGTAAAGAGTGTGCGTGTAATTTAAAAATAGATTACACACATAACCAAACAATGTATTTTTATTTTACATGCAAACTATTTTACCGTCCTAAACTTTGCATTCAATCATTTTGCATGTAAAGTTTTAATGTGTAAACTACCAAACGGGCTCTACATTACTACTAGTACGTAATAGTGAAGGCGTGAAGTCATTATAATTCCTGGAATATGATAACACAAGTTTTTTTCCTTACGTATGAGTTATGACTAGCAAGTTTTTTTAAGAAAAAAAAAACTCACGTAATGTAATAGGTAGTGAATGACCAAAATTACATCAACTAAAAACGCGTTGATTGCAGGTATATTGGTTAAAGATTGACACTTCGGGCATAAGAAAGAATCAACAGTCTTTTTTTTTTAATGGAAGTATGGAACAAAGTCTTTGATATATATAATGTAGAAGACACACACACATTACACACATATGTATGTGTATGAATAGTAGGCTCATGGTAAATTCTAATGGGCATGATCCGACGCACGGAATCACATACTATGCATACGGTATATGATCATATATTCAAATCCGACCATGGCCGTCTTGAGACATTTGGAGGCCCTAAGTGGAAACCATTTATGGACATATCATATTAAAGGGGTTTTCTAAAACAAAATAATACGGAGTATACACTACAAAAAATAACAAAATTGACATGAATTCATCAAAATTCATAGGGAATTTGACACAAATGCATCAAATATGTGCTAAATGTCATGTTGGCATCATTTTTTCATGAACTATTCCATGCCAAAAGTATGTTATGACCAGTGTCAAACTCGATCAATTCGCGCTAACTCCGTGTAAAGGCCATAATTCTCTTGTAGTGATATAAAGTTATAATATTAGATAAGTTTAACAGAAGATAATATGACAAAGAAAGTGTATTCAAAATGTAGCATGAACATCAAAAGAATAATTTTTTTAATATTGTTATAGAAAATTGCAATGTAGAAAACGTTTTTATCATATTGTGAAACACAGGATCTATATCGTCATTGAAAACAATATTGAGTGAAGAAGATCTATTTTTACGGGTTAAATTTCCCTTAACCTGTTACATATGATAAGGTTAGTATAAAAAATAAATCGTTAACCATATTGGGTGAATCTCTCATATTATGTTTCAAACATATCAATTTGTAAAAAGAACACAAACCTAACCAAAGAATTATATTACTTTCTAAATAACGTCTACAGTCTACACAACGTAACTAAAATCAAAGAGATCAATTGTATAACTAAACATATTTTCGTTTGATACAATTATTTAATCAAAAAAATCACCAACCAAACTAAATAACTATGCTGCCACTACAAAAAATCAGCCCGATTGTCAAGGATTTTGTCACGAACCGTAGTGTAAAAAATCTGTGACAAATCATTTTTGTCACAGATTTTGTCACGGCCGGAATCCGTGACAAAACGGGCGTGACAAAGTTTTGTCACGGAACCGGATCCGTGACAAGTAATTGTCACAGACTTATCACGGCCCAGATCCATGACAAAATTGTCACCAGAGCATTGTTGCCGGTCACATTGTCACGGATTTATCCGTGACAATTTTTTTTTCATCTGAATAAAACGGGCGGGGAAATTGGAAAATTTGAATTTGACAAATATTTTTTTAATTAAAAAAAAAATAGAAAAATGAAAATTTTTAATTTTAAAAATTCTCAATGGGCAGGATTTTTTTTTTCAAAATTTGTCACGGACGACATCCGTGAAAAATATTTAATATTTTTTTAAAAAAATATTTATTTAGAATTTATTTTTTAAAACAATTATTTTAAAAATAACGGACAAAACATTTGTCATGGAACGAATCCGTGACAAACATTATATATATTTTTTAAAAAAAATTAATAAGTAAGCCCCAACTTAAATATCCGGGTGTTCAAGTGCAAATGTAACAAGCTCCCCAATTCCATCAAGAAAATTTGCTTTCATTCCGTACAATTCCGCATGTTTATCATACATCCAATTTCTGTTTTGTCTATACATTATGCCTGAATGTTATAATCAACAAGTCATATTGGTTAAAAACTATAAATTATAAACATTAGGAATAATTTGTTATGTTTAATATATTCATTAATTAATATTTAGGAACATTAATATATTACATTTCGCTAAAGTTCACTAAAATTAACTAACGTTCAATTAATATTATTAATGAACTAAAAACTATACGTTAATGGCATTAATCATTAATATTATTAATTCATTCACAATATTTAGGAACATTGATATATTAAATTTCACTAAAATTTACTTAAACTAACTAACGTTCAATTAATATTATTAATTAACTACAAACAATCGTTAATGGCATTAATTCACGATACTAAAATTTTGAAAATCTAATAATACACAATAAACAATTCACTAAATTATATGAAATTCAAATAATTCACAATAATAATTCAGACTAAAGTAATGTTCCAATCCTAACTTAAATCCTTATAAATCCTAAATTAGGAGTTAACAATAATTGCTAATAAAAAAATCTAATAATTTTTTATAAACCCATTTGAATTAACTAATATTTAAATTACACAAATATTATAAAAAAATTTACAATTTACCTAGTTTTAACTAAATACAACTTAACACTACGTTTAAACCTACGTTTAATTAATTTTAACTAAATTATTTTATAAACCTAAAAATTTAACTAATATTATCAAAAAATTAACTAATTTACCTAATTTTAACTTAATGCATCGATCACTACGTTTAAACCTATGTTTAACTAACTAAATATACGTTTAACTACTAATATAAACCTACGTTTAACTAATTCAACTAAATTATTTTATAAACCTAAAAATTTAACTACTTTATGACATCACTACTATACGTTTATAGTTAAATATATTGTTAATTAATTAACAACCTCACAATTTATATTACAATTATTTAAAACGAAACAATTAATTCTTAATAAAAAAGTACATAATTCGAATGTCATACATTATCTGCATAAACAGAGAAAATGACATAAGATAGATTACATCCTTCAATCTTTCAACAGATACTGTATTATATACTGTGACGGAGTTGAATTGGTATGGATCTATTGAATGAATCTGTCCATGCATATATATAAAAAATTGTCACGGATGTTGTCACGGATTTGTTCGTGACAAACACTATCCGTACAAAATTACTAGTACAACTTAATTTTAAGCGTTGAAAATTTAATTTTTTTGTTGTCACGGATTTTGTAACGGATAAATCTGTGAAAAATTACCGGAACAAAAAAAATTGTGTCGGAAATAATTTCTAGCTGCCGGAATCCATTTCTCACGGATAAAATCCGTGACAAAGATTTGTCATAGAGTTTGTCCGTGACAAATTTATTTTTTGGCATCCATGACAAGTCCGTGACAAAGTCCGTGACAAACTTGTCACGGACAAAATCCGCGACAATAATATGTGCCTATATATGCATTAAATAATACGGAGTAATGTAAAACAATTATTTTGTCTTCACTCGGTCACTAATCACTATGCATTATACCACAAAGTAAAACTCGCGGAATAGGGTTCTATGGACGTAGGGTAGGACCTTAAGATGGATTCATCTACAATCTTTTATTATACAAAGCCAAGAGAAAAAAAATGAACAGTGTTCCCGCCTAAAAGCATTACAAAACTGGGTCGGGTCAACATGGGTGCGGAAATGGGTCTTGGGTAGGCCCACTGCTGCTCTTTAATGTTGGTAGCTCAAAACATGTGGGAAATTAATCAGTACATAGCATTAAATAAGAGTTGTACGTTTTCATAAGAGAGATCACAAATACAATCCTTTTGCAGGCCTTGAGCCACAAAAACATTAAATTCTTTGAACTACTGAATGGTGCATTTTGTATCTCTCACGAGAGAAAGAAGAAGAGTTGTTGAGATGATTAAAAAATGAAGCAAATTGTACTTCAAATCTTAAAAGCAATTCTTGAGCCTCACAACCATTCAATGCATTGTACCATCTTGCCAAAACTAAATTAATTTTGTACTACAAAATATTAATGTTGAGATTGAGTGGGATGGTGCATTTCGTATCTCTCACAAAAGAAGAAAAAAGAGTTGTTGTGATGTTTTAAAAAAATGAAGTAAATTGTACTTCAAATCTTAAAAGCAATCTTGAGCCACACAACCATTTAATGCATTGTACAATCTTGCCAAAACTATATTAATTTTGTACTACAAACTATTAATGTTCAGATTGAGTGGGATTTTTTAACCTTTGGTTAACCACAGCTTACCTCCATCCATCCAATATAAATAGCCAAGCAAGGGATGGCCACAACACACCACAAACCAGCATTCGGCATTCATACAAAAATCAGAGCAATGGTAGCAGGTTCATCAACAACAGGAATGTGGTCCTTGGTCAAGGATATCGATCACACTAAGTACACCTGGGCAATCCAGGTTCGGGTGGTTAGGGCATACGAGGTTCCTCCGCACTCCAAGGGAGGGGAGACTCTTGAAATGATTTTGCATGACGGAGAGGTATGGTTTGTAAGATCTAACTCCTATATTGTAAATTGTTTGAATTTTTTTATAACTGTTAATGTCTTACTAGGGTGATCGGATTCACGCCATAATCAAGAGGCCGCAGATAGCTATGTACAGGCCTATGATAACGGAGAACAAAATTTATGCCATAAGAAACTTTTTGGTGCTTGACAATTACCAAACGGTGAAGACTACAAGTCATCCCTACCTAATTCAGTTCATCTCGAAAACCCAATTCAGGGAAGATACGAGGACAGAACTGCCTATGATGGTCTATGATTTCCAGCCTTTTGACATGTTGCACGCCCAAATGGTTATCAATGACAAGAGTCTCATTGGTGAGTTAAAAAATAAAATTGCATTCCTCACTACATTGCTTAAGCAATTGTCCTAATTACACTTTCTATCGATGAGTAATGCAGATATCATTGGGAAGGTACTGAGCAAGAGCCTTATTCAGACCCATATAATCAACGGGAGTACTGATAGGCTCATGGAGCTGACTTTGACAGACTCGAAATAAGTTTCTGTCAACTTAGAAGATTTTGGCACAAGAAAAACCACGTATGATTATTGACTGAAGCTTTTTAAAACTACAGGGGTAACAGATTGGGTAGCGTATTGTGGAACAAGTACATAAACCGGTATTTGGATTATGTTAATGCTAATGAAGGAGTGCCTGTCTTTGTGATATTTCAGCTTTGTAGACCAAAGAGATATACCAAGGTTTGAGAAACATAGCGGCATTCATTTTAGCAAAAAAAACCAGTAACAAGAACTTAACTGAATGCTATTTTAAACGTAGGGATCTTGACTGTGAATTCCTCCTTTGATGTGCCAAATCTCATCATAAACGGGAACACTACTGAGTTCCTAGAGTTCCAAAACGAGTACGTGAAATTTTTTATTTGAAAGTTCATAACAAATCTCCTAAAAACTAACATCCCAATACAAACCAATGAACACAGGTTTCCAGCTGATGGTGATGACACCATGACTCAAACCTGCAACACTCAGTGCTCACAGGTGGATGGGAGGGATGATATACTCAGTGGAAATGATGTCATTACCACCATGGAAGATTTGATGAATGCAACTGAGGTGATTCCTAAAACTTAGAAGTTGTTATAGTTGTGGAATTTTCTATGGTAATATGCCCACTACTAACAAAAAATTTGTACTTGAGCGGGAGAATGTTTACTGGGTACTTGCTGAGATAGTTTGTATAGAAAACTTTCGTGAATGGTGCTGCCTTAGTTGCCCAACATGCCACAAAAAATTGCAGCCTAAAGAGGACAGGTTTTGGTGTACAACTTGCAGCATGATCCTGGCAGAAGGAGTTTATCGGTTCATTACTTTACCTAATGTGTTCTAATGATTGTAGGCTGTCTAGGTTTTCATTTTGATAAAAACCATTGTTACTCTCTAATAAATTAGCTACAAGATCAGCGTGTGTATTATGCACAACACTGGGCATGGCAACTTTATCATATGGGACAAGGAATGCATAGAAATTCTGGGTAAAGCTTCTGCAAGTCTTAAAGTCGAGGTTGAGCAGGTAACAATATAATTTGTGGGCTGTGTTTACTTTTATGAGACCTAAAATTGATTTTGGGTTTAACTACATAACTTGGATTTTAACATAGAAAACTGGGGATCCAACTCGCTTTTCGAAAGACATCGAAAGTTTGGTTGACAAAAAGGGAATCTTCAAAATACAGCTAAGGAAGAAGAAAGCTGAGGAAAATGCCTACAGTGATGGAATTTCTCTAGGGGTGGTTAGCATCATACGAGATACTAATGTTCTCGCAATGTATGAGCAAAAGGAGCACTTAGAAATTAATGAATGTGATGAGCGTACACCAGAAAAGGTATTTAGAAAAAGTAATATTTTGCCTCTTGAATTTAAAATTTTAAATAAATATGACAACTAAATGTGTAATATTTTGTTCCGGATTGATTCAAATGCCAATTTGGGAGAGACCTCCAACAGAGAGAAATCCATTGTCACAAAGGGCAAGGGGAAACGAATTTCAGCAGAGAAGGAGGTAAACGCTCGACAACTAACATGCCCATAATATTTTCCTTACGAAATTCTGAATATGGATCACTAAACGGGTAGTAATGCTAGATTTCTGCACCTATTGAGCTCCCAGACTCACCTACAGCTTCTACCCAAAGGGAGGTCAACGTTGAATTGAATGGTGAGATCAAAAGAAACTTGAATGATGAATTTTCAAGCAGTGAGAATGGCAAGAAGCTGAAGATCAAAATTAAGCAGGAACCGCTCTAAAGCGGGTTCATACCCAGGATAACATTGCATGATATTTTGTTGGCACCGACTGTGGTGTTTATTATTGAATGAAAACAGTTTCATAGGCAGTATGTATGCCTTCACTTTTTGGGAGTACTGAAAACTGTTTAACAGACCTTTAAACACTACATTATGACTATTGTGTGGTGTGCTATTTTTTTAAACTATGTGTTGGAAGATCCTTATCTATATATTTGGGCAGATTTGTAGGATTTCAGAGAAGAATATTCCTACACCATTTAGGGACGTCTAGCCACCTAATTTCTTTGTATTTTTTAAACAAAAAATTGTATTAACACTAACGCATTAATAAATGTTTTGCCGGTTGATGAAAAAGTGGTGGGCTAAGGCAAATGCTACCAATGGTTTGAGAAGATGGCGTAACTGCAAGATGAGGGCACAGCTCGAAGGGAATGGAGTTCGTCCTAAGGGATGATATTTTAGAAGCATTCAATGTTAAAATCGTACCTTTGACATCCCCTGAAGCAATGCTAAAATTTCAAATACAAAATAAGGATTTCACTCCATTTTTTGGGAAAGACAATATGTAAAAAAAAAATATCTGCCCAAAATGTCAATGAAGTGTATGTATTTTGAAAATATCTTCAAAAATAGAACCACGTCTAACAAATAAATATCTGTACAGATGTCAAAAACTTGAATATAATAGAAATTTAACCAACATTTTATAGGAGCAACTGTGTTAAAGTTAATTGCTTATGTGACGAAAAGGGGATTTTTGTTTCATTTGGTATGGAAAGATATATTTAGCATGTATAAAAACATTTGAGAGGTACATGGTTCTACTTAACATTTTGGGCATGTGTATTTTGGCCATAATTATGTAGCCCAAGTATTTTGGGTTTCAAATACCTGAGTTTTCCAAAGGCCTTACCCTTGACATAAATAAATTAAATTAAATTTAATCAATACATATCACATTTCGAATTCACTTAAAAATTAAGGAATATTAAAAAAATATGAACCCACATTTCAAATTCACTTAAAAATTTAATCAATACATATCACTTAAAGGTAATCATGACATATGAACAAAACTGTTTATTAAGTACAATGGTTAGTAGGGTTGAAATAGTAAGGGGCAATCATTTATTGTAAATCACTTGAGTAGCACTACTCAAAAATATCAATCCACCAGAGTGTATTAATTGTAGGATGGAATTGAATGAAGATGTACAACAAATATTATAAAATATTCCGGAAAGGTAACTTACCAATGGTCAAAAGCCAAAATTGTAAAGTGAGTGGATATATAACTCCCAATGCATTTACTCCATGCTCAGAAACTCATTTATGAGCTCAACCGAAAATTCTAACAACTGAAACTGTGAGAAAGGCTCAAGAATCACTATGACCAGTGCAATTCACTGTGAAGAAAAGGTATGTTTCAAAACTCATTATTGACAATGCTATATGACACTATGCAATGAACACTCATACTGAATGTATTCAAAACTAATTACAACAGTTCAAATCCTTTTATTTATAAAAAATGATGCTATTTAATAACTTTGCCATTAAAGATGAGAAGTTGTTCATGCACAAAAAGTTCTTGACCAAAATGTCATACATGTGGAAAGTATCCTGGACTCTCTTGGTTGGAACCATGCTCTTGGTGTAATGGCAATTTAAGTCATTTCTACTGCATGAGGCCAGTAAACAAAAATAGGTATATTGGCAAATACTTATGCAAAGATTGTCAAGATATATACTTATGCAAGGAGAGTATGTTTCTTGCATGGATGAGAGCAAATGCCAAGTACCCCGAGGAAAGGGATTTAACTTATGCTGAATTCCTTTAAAGGTTTGTCTGGAAAGCCAAAAACAAGAGAATTTGTACCTCGGAAGCAGGGGTTTGCAATAGGCCGTCTAACGTATGTGCATCCGGAATCAGGAAAATCTTATTATTTGCGATGTGTCCTTAATTTGAGGCGTGGGGATACAAGCTATGATGATCTTAGAACTGTAGATAGATTTACTCATAATACATACCGCGATGCATGTTTCGCCTTAGGGTTGTTGGACGGTGACAAGGAGTACGTTGAAGGATTTTTGGAAGGTAGTTATTGGGCTACAACATGGTTACTCAGAAAGTTGTTTGTGATTTTATTGGCAGCTGATACAATGAGTAGACCAGAATATGTGTGGGACAAGTGTTGGACATTTATGTCAGATGACATTCTACACAGGCAAAGAAGAGCCTTAATGCATCCAGGTCAGTTCATATATTAGACATACATATATCTTTACACACACACACACACATATATATATTCAAAACCATACATTATATATTACACATGTTATTTGATATTACTGTTTTGATGCATGTAATATCAGATTTGAAGTTGACCAAGGCTGAGATTAAGAATTATGCATTGACTGAAATGGAAATGATGTTGAGGAGAATTGGTAGGACTTTAAAGGACTATCCATCAATGCCATTTCCAACTATAAGTGATGATGTCATGTATCAGAACAGGCTTATTTTTTGACGAGTTGCAGTACGATCGCGCTGCCCTGCGTGAAGAGAACAACAGATGCATGTAGAGTCTCAATGATGAACAACGTCAAGTGTACACAACCATTATGCAATCTATTGAACAAAATAATGGTGGGGTGTTCTTTGTATATGGTTATGGAGGTACAGAGAAAACGTTTGTGTGGAAGACGTTGTCGGCTGCTTTGAAGTCCACAGGAGAAATTGTTTTAAATGTTGCTTCGAGCGAAATAGCAGCTTTGTTGTTACCAGGTGATCGGACCGCACATTCACGCTTTGCAATACCAATCAACCCGAATGAAAACTCCACATGCAACACCAAACAAGGTAGTCCACTGACTCAATTGATAATTCGATGCAAACTGATCATATGGGATGAGGCGCCGATGATGCACAAGTATTGCTTCGAAGCCTTAGATAGAAGTTTGCGAGACATCTTGAGATTCACTGACTCAAATAGTGCTGAAAACCCCTTTGGAGGGAAAACGGTGGTCTTCGGGGGTGACTTCAGACAAATTTTACCTGTCGTTACAAAAGGTACTAGACAAAACATTGTGAATGTCACGATTAATTCTTCGTATATTTGGCATGTGTGCTTGGTGTTACGTTTGACAAAAAACATGAGGTTGCAATTATTGACTGATGATAGTGAGTACGAGGATTTGCTTGAGTTTGCTAAGTAGTGGATTGTGAGTTTGGGGGACGGGATTGCTGAGGAAGATAATGATGGTTTTGTAAATGATCAGATTCCAAAGGAGATTTTGTTAGAGTGTGGAGGCGACCCCATTACCACTATTGTCCAGAGCACCTACCCAAACTTTGAGAATATTGTGAATGACCCGAATTACTTGCAAGAGCGTGCAATTCTAGCTCCAACCTTTGATGTTGTCGATGCAATCAATGAATACATGACTTCTATGAATGTTAATGAAGAGTCAAGGACATATCTAAGTTCAGATAGCATTTGCAAGTTAGACTCGAATGTTGATTTTCTGGCTGATTTGCATACTCCAGAATTTCTGAACAAAATACGTGCATCTGGAGTTCCAAACCATGAGTTAACCCTAAAGGTTGGTACTCCAATAATGCTTTTAAGGAATATTGATCCTTCCATGGGGCTTTGCAATGGAACAAGGTTAACTGTAACAAGACTTGGAAATCATATCTTATGGACAAAAATTATGTGCGGAAAATACGTCGGCCGTGAAGTTGTCATTCCGAGGTTAAGCTTAACTCCTTCGGATTCAAGAATACCATTCAAGTTTTAGAGAAAACAATTTCCGGTCATGACTATAAATAAAAGTCAAGGACAATCTTTGTCTTATGTTGGACTTTTATTGAAAAAGTCTGTCTTCATGCATGGTCAGCTGTATGTTACAGTGTCAAGGGTAACAAATTCTAAGGGTCTGAAGATATTAATCTGCGATGAAGATGGCCAATCAACTAACCATACCACCAATGTAGTTTATAAGGAAGTTTTTGTAATGTGTAGATTGTGAAACCCTGTTAACGTTTACTGTTTCCTACTTATTCCAAAACATACTTACTACCTATCTCTGCGTTTTTGCTATCCAATCTTTAATTATGATTTATTATACGTGTGAAGTATATGACAACCTGCTTTCATTTCACACAACCAAATAACGTTCTCTAATAATGTCGTATCCATGTTACATTTTAAATTTCCGCGCATCGCGCGGGTGAGAATCTAGTTTTTTTATAAACTTCAGCTGAGTTGCGAAACAAAAGGTTCACCCAAAAACGCTGGATTCTCTGCCCAGTCCTAGTCTAATTAGTCGATTGAGAGTTTAGCTGTTTGGAATTGGGAAATTACAGAATAGGAATTGGAACTTACGATGTGCTTTAGTGGTCCGGCGGTTCAATTTTCAACTATTAAAATTGAAAAAGAGAATAACTAAATGTTGTTCAGATGAGGCCTCCATGAAATGTAAGGTCCTAGGCAAGTGCCAGGGTCAACTTCCCCAAAAGCCGGCTCTATATCCTACACATTTATTATAAAAAAATAAGGAGTCCGGATCCAAATTCAGGTAAACACAATAAAATATAGATCCATTCCCGTTATAAAAAAAAGACTTGAGTCGGGTTTGTGGGTCTGGGTGTAAATCGGGCTACTTGATAGGCTTAGCTCCAACTCTCCATGGATATCACCCACATTCTGCGAATCTTTAAATGTGGTACTTGTAAGTTGTAACTATGCACAAAACTTCTAAGCAATTTTTTTTTTACTCAAATCATAAACATTTGTCCAATAGCGTCATTTGATGCATTAATCATAAGCTTGTTTAAGAAAAATTATCACTTGATTGGAGATAAATAAAAAGATGACTATGAGGAGTTTGAGGGTTGATGTCATGGATCTACCAAAATTGGCCACGATTTAAAACTCTCCCACTTTCCCAATCCATGACTTAACTAGTGTTTTTTCAAATAATTTTTAAATCTATAAAATTTAATTAATTTCATGATTAATAATTACATAATTAATTTTTATGGACTAATATACTGTTTGGCTTGAGCCTATATAACCTTAACCTCCTACTTGTTTTCTCCAACCCTAGCCTCTAGCTTCCCACTACTCATGCACACCCGCCTGCCGCTGCTGCCCCGCCACCTACCTTTGCCGCCCCACCACCGCCCAGCCGCTGCCTTGCCGTACATCCGCCTACTCACCACCTCCGTCCAACTGCACAACCGCATGCTCTCCTCCTTCGTATGTCCAGCCTGCACACGCCACCGCCGCCGAGCCTGCTCTGGCCGTCGTCTTCCCGCCGCACAGTTGCCTCGTGCCTCCATCAACCAGCGTACTTGATCTCTTGCCATTTGAGATTAAGGTTTGTGGAATTCTTCTTCTATTTTATGGAAGTTAATTATTTCTGGTTTTTATTTGTCCGTTTTTTTATTCGGGCTAGTTAAAAATAAAGATTAGATTCGAGAACATCATTCGAATCGGGTCAGAGTCGGTTTTGGATTCAGTTTTTCCCCACTAAAGCTCATGGGCGGATGTATGGTATGTTCAATGGGGGCACATGCCCCCAATGAGATTGTGCCTTACCCAATAAGTAAAGCCTAAAAACTCAAAAGCTGCAATCCAAGAAAGAGTAACTCAATTAATATTCCCTAAAAAAATTGTACTTTCTTTTGTGCCACGACCTCACATCTCAAATTCGCAATATCCCATTTTGGAATTTAATCA